TGGAGGCTCAGCGTTAGTCTTGGAGTTGACAAAACTCCTGGGCTCAATGTGGGAGAGTGAACAGGTTCCAACTGAATAGTGTTAATCAGTGATCGTACCAATTTACAAGAAAGGCGACAGATCCTCGTGCTAAAACCACAGAGGAATTAGTTTAATCAACATCATCTATAAACTTCTCGCTGGTATTATACTCCATCGGTTGTATGCCACACGGAAAAAGTGCACGTGTTAGAGCCAGGCTGGTTTTAGACCCGGTCGAGGATGTATCGACCATATCTTCACTCATCGCCAAACTCTGGAGTACCGACATTCTTTTCGTAGACCCACCATCTCTGTATTCCTGGATCTGAAAGCGGCTTTCGACTCAGTCGACCGTTCTGAACTCTGTCGCTTCCTCGCCCTCAAGGGTGTGCCCGAGAAGTTTAATATTACAATCGCTTTATACTAATAGCCGAAGTCGAGTCCGGGCTTACGGCACTTTTTCGCCCGAGTTCACCACGGAAAGTGGTGTTCGTCACGGTTGCCCTCTCTCCGTTTTTATTTAACTTTGTTATAGATCTGATTATGGAAACAGCCCTATCCCCGTGCGAGGATAGTGGCATCGATTTACTCCCAAGTGGCAGGCTGTCTGATCTAGAGTGTGCAGACGACATTGTGGTGCTAAGTGAAGATTCAGGTAAGTTGCAAGCTTTTCTGGATAATTTGAGTGCCAGTGCAGCCATATTCGGTATGCGTTTTGCACCTTCAAAGTGCTACACCCACCCACTCTCATCCTGACTGGGGAAGGGGTAGAGAAAGTGGACAAGTTTTGCTATCTGGGCAGCTATATCTCACCTGATGGACGCATCGCGGATGAAGTGTCAGCTCGCATAAAGAAGGCTCGGTTTGCATTTGGCAACTTGAGGCATTTATGGCGCCGTCGTGACATCCAGTTATCTGTGAAGGGTCGAGTGTATGCCGCGACAGTTCGGCCAGTCCTGCTATATGGAGCAGAAACTTGGCGATTAGGAAAACAGGATAAAGACGGACTGTCGGTGTTGAAACACCTCTGTCTACGCAGCATTACACGAATCTGGTGGGGTAGCCGGATGAGCAACGCTGAGGTTAGACGCAGAGTTTTGGGTAACCGTGGTCGCCCGCAGGAGCAAGTCATCGGCCTCCATAGATTACGTTGGTTGGGGCATGTGTTACGCATGTCACCAGCTAGGTTACCACGGCGAGCGATGTCCGCCGAAGCAGACAACGAATGGCAAAAGGCCAAGGGTGGCGTGGCTAAGACCTGGCACGGAGGTATGAAAACCATAACCAGGAAACTGGGTCACATGGGTCCTGTTAGGCTCCCTGGTTGGGGACCTCGGGATGATCGTAACCGATGGTTAGAGACACTGAGTGATATGGCCGAGTGTCGTTAACAGTGGCGTTCGTGCATTTTCTCGATTTCTCTGCATCATTAGTTCACTGAACTTTTCAATTTTCTCTTTGATCCCACTTCCAACCTTCCTGTTTTCTTCCTATTATTTACCCAAATTGGCAGCCAAAAGAGAGCAACCAAAACCGGCGCACGGAAATGCATGCTTAATGGTTGTCTAAACTGAACTAAACTGATAAATTTCGAAGAAATCGTCCATACACATTTTTATTGCAATACTATCTGAGATCTATACATAATTTTGATTTTCCGATTCACCGTTCGTTTTTTGTTACTTGTAGAGGACATTGAACTGAAGGAAAAGCTGAAGCGCGAGAAACAAGAGCGTAAACGCCGAATCGCCGATGATCGGTCTCAACCTAAAGAAACCTCCGACGTGTACGCTGCATTCTTCAATTTGACCGACATCCCTGCTGCAGACTCAGTTGAGGAATCTAATCTTATGTCATCTAACTTATCCAAAGTTCATGAAGAGGTGAGTCACACTCCATTCACTCGTACATCTTGTTACTAAACCAAAATCGATGCTTTGATTGCGATTTGTTAATCCTAATCTTTATTGGAAAATCATCGTGAACTGTTATTTTATTGATCAATTCAACCAGTTTGGAAACGGTTTGATTAGACAATTGGCTTTACGTCAAACTTGACTCAAACTTATTTTACATGTGGCCCTGACGAAGTTTTGAGACTTGTACTTTTAGCTCTGATGAACTGGATTTACTTTCACCGAGCTTGAAAATTTGTTAGAAAACATTTCGTTACCATCCGAGGTAGCATTTTCCATACCTGTGGAATGGTGGTGTTTTGCTTCTATCCCTCAAATAGGTTCTTCCTTAGCCACCTTTCGTCCGCGGAGAACAAATTTGATCGAAGAAATACGTAAGTGAACAAATAGAAACAAAGTACCGCCGTTCCACACACACACTGAAGATATTTCGGCTGATGGCAAGACGTTTGCGAACCAAATGACAAGCTCAGCGAACAGGCAAAGCGAACACATGATATTGTTCGCTAAATACCGATCCATGTATGAAACGGATGTAGGCGACAAACTTGATATTCATTAAGTTTTCATTTTTTTCTTCCGATTAACATAGGTGTTTTTATCTGAAACCAAGACACGTATATTGCTGTTTACAGTTACCAGCGCATTACAACCACATTCGTTGTGATTTTATTCGATTCGAAATGAGTTTTGGAATGAAACTAAATGACTTCAATTAGCAAATGCAAAGATAGTGAACAAGCTTGCTTCCGACAAATGCAGTTTTATAAAATGGGTGTGAAGGAATTGGTGAATGTAGCCATAACTTGGCACTGATGGATAAACGAAGTTTAACATCGTCGAGGTTAACCGTTACCGGCCTGAGTCATGGAGTCCCAAAAGGGATCACCTTCAGTCGTGGAGGTGAACTCAAACAGGGGTCCTGACGGTGGGAATGTTTTGAAAAGTTGCCTCTGGGAACAAGTTGATAAAAGACTCGATTTGGTAACTGTCGCCTTAGTTTCTGTCCGAATAACCTGATAAAATACCCCACTCACTTCCTAACCCGTATCTGTGGTATGCCTTGCTGTTTGAATAGAAAAGCTGTTCTTTTTACCTGTAATCAGTCGAGCTGATTCCTGTTTCTTTATCCTCTGTGAAAACTGTCTATACGGTTTGTTTTTATCTCTAGTTTAGCACAAATATCAACTTGGAATAGGTGGTTGTACAGGGGGCAAAAATGAGCAATCCATCTTAGAGATTAATAGAAATAACCGCTCTGTTTCTAGAGTTTTACGTGCAACAGTACTCTCCAGACTCTCCGTTATCAGACCACTTTATGTCTTTCATAAGGATGTCCCATTAATACGTTCTTATTAATTATTGTTGTGGTCGACGGTGTGTGCTTTGTCTCGTCAAAACTATCACTGAACCTGGCCCCACGATGCGTATCCCAGCGACCCCAGTTAAAAGACAGTTACAAACTGTACGAATCTTTACTGGTAATGCCAGTCAGACGTGGATTGAAAAAGGGAGAAACGTGCGGTGTATACACGGGACTGATCACAGTCCATTCATTTGCCCTGAATCGGGGTTACGAGGGCACCAATTGAGAGATTGCATAAACCGGGTTGCTGTTCTCTGTTTGTTGCCCGGACAACTATGCGTCCAGGACCCTCGAGAAAACACCGACCCGTTCTCACGGTGGCAGCTGGTCCCAATCCATTTTAAATGCTAATCGATAGAACTTTCAGGGGAAGGTTAGCCTTCTAAGCGAATCGTCCGTGAGAGCTGTAGAATCTAACGGCTTGTTCCATACCCTTCGGCTATGTATTACTTTCTACTCTGGTAAAAACTTTATGGTAAGAGCTGGGAGAGGATAGGTGTTTCGTTTCCCGACAATGACAAAAGCTATCGAAATGTGAACACTCCCTTGTTCACTTTGGCTTGTCATAGATCACCGCCTCTGTGCTGTCTAAGGCTCACACAACGAATCGATGGTAGGATTTCTACTTCTACGGCGGTGGCTGATTGGTAAGTTTGTTGAAATAACCGCCTGGGGGTCATGGGTTCAAACTCCTCAACCGCCGCCCATCTTCCATTATCTGTATTTTCCAGGCAACCTTTTTTATGGCCACGGCTCCCTTCCTGAACTTTTACTATACATTTCTGTAATCAATAAACAAAAAACAAAGTAAAACTATTATTTTATTATTATTCATCACACAGACTCAATATCCACTTGTACTTGATTAAATTTATCCTCTACCTTTTACACTGAGGCGTTATCGTGTATAAAGTTGAAGGTATGAAGCATGCTCATGGCAAGGCAATTGATTGCTCAGGCGTCTTAGAGTTTGCTGTCCTCCAGTTTGAGAGCAACGCCTATCTGTCAAGTGCCCTATCAAAAAGTTCATAACTTAGCAGTAGTTCATATTGTAATATGCTTGGGCTTGAGTGAGCGAATGTGCGACAGAGCCGAATGTGAACCGAGTCTCTGCGTGGGCAAAATCCGCGAACGAGGGTTAACTGAAAATCTCCAAGGGAGGAAAAATACAAACT